GCTAGCATCAAAATTATGATTTGTGAAATTGCATTGCTCTTTAGCATGAACATGTTTCTGTGTGAAAATGTGTTTATATTGTATCATCTATCTTTGCTCAGTGTAATAAACTCCTTGGAAGTATTTCTGATAAGGTTAAAAGTTATTAAAAACAATTTAAATCTACTTCTAGAATTTTTTTCAGTAGGAATAGGGCATTTTAATTGTCTTAAAGCATTACTGATTGCTTGAGGGATTAAATAGATGCTTTATTTTGTAAGGAAGCTAAACATTTATGAGTTTCCATTTTACTTGCAGTTTTCCCCAGACATATATTTTATTATGTTCTGAATACACGTGAATTTTTAATCTGACTTTAAAACATTATAGGATTGGAGACAACAGTGATTCTTACAAGTATAGTTAACTTGTAGATCTTTTTCTACAATGATTCATATACCTCTCTTTGTCACATTCTATACCCATATTAGTTACTTTTCAGATCCCAGCCAAAGGGGCACATTAGCCCATCCTACCTCTTAGGTAATGACCAAAAGTTTTATTAAAAGTATAATTTCGTATTAAAAATCTTGAGAGTAATTGACCTTGAGTTTGATTGCAACATTAACTTTTCAGCTGTTTCAAATATTTAGTGTAAGGTTTATTTATACAGTGTTATTGTGTATAATCATCCTTTGTGGCATCCTCTGTATATTCCTGTATAGTTTATTTCTTGTATACTTGACCACTTCCAGTGGACTGTAAGCTCCTTGATATGAGGACTGTGTCATAATAGTCACTTAGTAAATTTTTGATACACAGATGGATAAATGAGTAAATGAATGATGGTTTATGTACATAGTAATTTTTTCAACTAGACTGTAAGTCCCTGGTAGACTTGGATTTTGTCTGTGTAGTCTCCTATGGTCCCTGTCATTTTATCTTTCATTTTAAAAGCCACTTTTTAAATTTAAACCTAATTTTTAAAAGTTATATTCTAATGTAAATGAGATATTATATCTCAAAGCCCTCTCAGAAAGAGTTTAGTAGGCAATATCAATAAAAACTTGGACTGTCATTTATTGAGAAGCTATTAGGCCTCTAACATATATTAATTCATTTGATCCCTATAAAAACCTATGAAGTAAGTATTATTATTTGAAAATTGAGATACAGAATTTTAATAACTTCCCTAAGGTTTTACACAGCTAGGAAATGACTTGATGAAGAATTATTTTGGAAAGAGATTTTTCAGTCCTATAACTGTAAGATCTACTGCCCTTTCACTTTGCTTCCATGATTGATTAAATGTGTATATGAACTTCAGGTCTCTAATAAAAGATATAGCTGATCCTCTGTTGCAGATAGGTGTTTAAAACATTTCAGGTGAGGAATATGGTGAGCTCTGGTTTCAAAGGAGGAGAGAGAGCTAAGATTAACAGGAATTTTTCTTTGTGGATTGCAAAGAAAAAAATTAAAGAATCATGCTATTTCTGTCCATGTTCAATTAGTTTCATGCCGCACACATATACTGAGTACCTGCTTTGAACAATATGGTACTAGGTGCTATGGAAGACATAACGTTAAATGAGTTACTGTCTGCCGATCAAAGGTACTAGGAAGTCAAGCAAAAGTCTACCTTAGAATTTGTAGCAATTAGTAATAGATAAAACATGTATATACTTTTCAGTTGTGAACACACTTTTTAAACTCCAGATTAAATCAGCAGTCATTGAATTAGGTATGTGCAACAGAGTTAAAAACATTGACAAGACCTATAATAATAAAGAGTACAGGCAATCATCGAGTTAGATTGAATTATCTTCAAGGAGTCTGATACAATATTCTTACTTTCATTCAGGTCTTCAGTTTGACAGGTCTAGAAATTCCATTTTGAAGATGGCTGCAAGTTAATCAGACAATGAATCTCACTTCCAGACTCAAAAGTGATAGTCATATAATCATATAAATCAGATTGACTGTTTATTCCCATGTATACAATTGCCAAGTATCCTTAAGGACCCTTCAGTACATTCTTTGTCTGTACAGCAGCATACATGACAAAGTGTTGCTTGGTGAGAATGAACTCACTGAAGGATGAATTATGTCATCAAGCTGTCTATTCCAAGAAGACTAGATCTGTTAACCAGGAAAGCTCTGGTGATAAATTCTTGCTTTTTGCCTCCACCTCTCCCAATTTTTCTAATAGACAATAAATACCTCCCTCTTCCTTTCTGCTAAGAACTTTATTTTCCCCTGTTCTAGATATAATCTTATTAGTTAAGATACAGCTTTGTTTGTAGTCAACCATTTTTCTTAGATTGAACCTGAGAGATCATTTCTTAGGGTCAGATCAGCCATCAGAAGATAAAGTATTGGTTGATAAAATAGGCTTAAGGCCTGTATTTCAGTAAATCTTTCAGTTTCTAGTTTTTTTATTTGTTTGTTTTTAGAAAATAAACTTACAGTTCTTAAAATAGGAAAGCATTCTCATGTATCTTTTACTTATTCTGACTGATGGAGTCTTAGGTTTGTTAATCATTAGGTCATAGTCAAGACATAAATCCTCCGGAAATAAGATATCCTGATTGTAGGGAACATAAAGTAAAAACTGTTCATATATTATTCACTGAACATAAATAAAAAATATTGTATCATTCCTTGAAGAATTTTTTCTGTAGTTGAGTTTTACATATAACTAAGAATTTATAAGTTATATTTATATTCTTTAACTTATTGGTCATTTTTCTGATGGTCACTAAAGGTATTGAGTTTTTTATATTGAATTGAATTATCTGCACCAAAATCTATTTTAACTGTTTTTAGTTTTTTTTTTCTAAAATAGTCTACATTTCCCTGCCCCATAAAACAAAACAAAAAGTATATCAAACCTAATTTGGCACTTGGAAATAACTTGTGGTTTTTAATATTCCTGCCAAGTAGAAGCACTCTCATCTAGTTTGTGGTTTCTATTGTGTCTATTAATGGGATAGGATGCTAACTGTGTTGCTCTGAGTATGTGGTGTAAGTACTAGTGCAAAAACTTTATGACATGTTTTGGCTATTCAAGTACAAATGGTACTTTTGTCTTATAACAGTTATTCTGGATAGCTGAGTTTCAGACAGATAAGCATTTGCCAATTCTATGGAAAAAAATAGCCTTTTTTGGCCAGCTACATAAATCCTGTTCATAAAGTTATGGTAAACATCACATTCTTTGATAGTTGTCTGTTTATGGTGAATTAAAAGGCAGCATTTAAGTTATTTCTTGAATCAGATTCTAGAAAGATGTCAAAAGCACTTGAGAATAAAAGCTTTTCCTGTGTGAAGTCTAAGTCCCAAGTCTTTAAAGTACATTCTTTAACCACCACAAGTAAGTTCCTCAAAGTTATAATCAAGTTGTAAATTTCTGCATAGTAAAAATTTTGTATGACATTAGTTAGTAGTAGTAGTATGACCTTGTTAATTGCCTCCCATATCCTGAAATAGTTTCCAGTTTTTAAGTATCAAAAATTGTGATTTTAGGCCGTTTATATACCTTTCCAAATAGTGCTTCTTCTGTTCTATCTTTTCCATTGTATTTTTGCATAAGCTAGCTTAGTTGTTTTACAACAGCTTGTCATCTCGTAATTCTAAGAAACCATTAAAATTACCTATTCACTTTTTTTTACAGATGTGGAACCAGAGGACCAGCTTTCCTCTAACTTCCTAATCAATGTCCTCTTGTATTTGTAGACTGTTTTCACAAAGTAAAACATTATTTTGAGGGAATTATGCAACAGAACTGAGAAAGGTTTATTATCAATAGAATTGTCATTGGATACCATGAATTTCAAAGCATGATAGGAGAACTGATGAATATAGAATATGTAGCTAATCCACAATCTTGTCATAGATTACTTTGAAATCTGGAAATAATTGTTGTTAGTTGCTAGTCATCTAAAAAAGTAGATTTATTTTCCTGTATTTGGGCTAACTGTACTTATTCAACTGCTCATACATGAGAATTTAATATTGGAGTTATTCACATAACTTCTATAAAGAGTTTTTAGTGTAAAGGTGCTTTTTAATGCATTGAAAGAAAGTTCTATAACCAAAGTTGTTCTTGGGATTGGAGTTGCAGCCACAGATATGTGCATAAATTGTACTGCTTAATAATAAGTAATATAGTCACCTGCCACTTATGAGTAAGCTATTAAAGAATAAGAGGAAGGAAACTTCTCTATCTATGTGTATATTTAAAAGAATGTATTTTCTTTTGTATTACTTTAAAGTATATTTAAAATGTAAATATATATATATTTAAGATAGTATAATTTGTGTTTTGATTATTTGGATATTATCACAGTTTCTCAATGTAATGCTAGCTCTTCCATTAACATGAGTTAAAACAGCAAGTCTAGAAGCTATCATCTGATTGTTGACTTGTTTTTTTTATGTATTTGTTTTAAAGTCTTATAGAAAAACACATAAGAAATTGTGTTATTATGAAGAGACTGATTTTTCTGATGAAAAAAGTAGTTATTACCAAAGAACACTAGTCAAGTTCACTTTACTTTTCAGAGAAACTTATGTTGTAATATGACAAATGGGAAGATTGTCCTGTTGAATTTGTTTCTTTACAGAAATCCAGTATGTAGCACTCTTTGGCTTGGCAGTTTTCTATTCATTAGTGTCTTCACTGACAGCTGAGTTAAAAATGGATACTAGACTTTTAAAAGAATGAAAGAATGACCAAGAAAACAAATATAATATAAGATAATATTTTAATGAAGTGAGACTTGTACAATTTTTGTGAGGTTTTGTAATTGAATTAATGGGGGGGTACACAATGTAATGTTGATTCTTTTTTTCCAAGGGTGTTTCAGCAATGTATATAGATAATTAAAAATTCTTAGTACCCTTATGTAAATCCTTGCATCTTCAGAATATTCAGAGTATGATGAAAACATCATAAAATATAGAATAAAGCCTTGATAACTTTATTACATCTGAGAATAATTTTTTTTAATTTTTAATAGGATACAACATCTATCGAAAAGATGTCAAACTGTTGTGAAGAAATGTAAGTATAAAAGTGATGTCTGTAGTGTTATTATTTAAAAATAGAAACAGTGGCCACATTTGAAAAATGTGTGCATGTAGTGGAAAGATGATATAATGATGGCTTTTTCTTGGTGCCTTGTCTGAGGCCTGAGCTAGACAAGCATAACCCAGTCTTACAGTAGGGGTCTTCTAGCCATGATAGTTTTCAAACAAAATAAGTACTGATCATTCTTGTTTGTCGTCTAACTAAAGTACATTAAATTATTTGTCCTGAAAGTACATCAAAAGAGATTTGCTACTGTGTTGTTGACACACATTCTGTTAATCCTGAGATTCTCCTCTGCTTCAAAAGTTGCCCTAGATTGATTGACGACATAGATACAATATCTGCATCCAGGGTTAGAACTCAGCTGCATGCCTTAATGAAAGAAAAGCTCTATTTGTGATGCTGGGACACAATTCATCAGAGTCCAGTAATGGATCCCCAGCCAACCTGTATTGTTTTAGCTGACTGAAGTGCACCATGGGAGTGCTGTCTTTCACTAATAATGCTGTCTTCTGTAGATCGAGGCCCCGAAAGCCATGGCAGCAGACCTTCTCAGAAGTTTTTGGCACTCGTTGGAAGATCCTGTGGTTTATTCCTTTCAGGCAGAGGCAACCACTGCGAGTTCCCTACCACTTTGCCAATCACGTCTAAACAGATGGATGGTGGGCACAGATGGGTCCTCCATGCTGGAAGTGCGTTACAGGTTTTCTGATAATAGAACTATGACAGTCTTCAAGTCAATTAAAATCCACCCACCAATCTTAGGCATCATAATGTGCCCCAGGCTTTATTTCAGCAGTGATCTTGATCCTGTTGTGGGACTAATACAAGATCTATATTTAAGTTTTAAAGCATGTTTACTTTCAAATTAGCTTTCCACAGGGATTTCTTTAAATGCTTTTGTTATTAAACTCAAGGGCAGTGATTGGGATGAAATAATTGTGCATAATTTCTTTTAGTACTGATGTTATGTATTTTAATTTATGAGAAATTTCAGATTTTTATTTAAAATTTTCACTTTTAAGCAGTACTAACCAAATCTAAATTTAATACTTCAGGCTTTACAAAAGTTGATATACCTTATATTATCTATAAATTTTCTTTCTCAAATACAATTTAAAATACAATATTTCCTTTTATATGTGCTGCAAGATTTCTTTAAATGCAGCATAACATTAAACAACAACAAAACACAAAAGCAACAACAAAAAAGGGGCAGTATTTTCTTAGAAGTAGCTTTTTAATGTTTTTTTCTTTTTCTCTTCACCAAAAACAAAGTAAAAACTCCACTGAAATAAAACCCAACTACCTGCCTTACTTTAATAAGAGGAAAGATTAATTTTTCGCCTACGTTAGCTTTCCTATTTCTTTTCACTCTACTGTTGTAACTATTGGTTGTTGTTAAAATACTTGCTCCAAGGAAAATTTTTGAACAAGTGGGCATATATTTGTATTTTACTGTAAGATTTTGATGAGCAAAAAGGGTAGAGAATTTGCAGTAATTCTACAGACACCTTTTCTAGTACAGTTATATTAGAGTGCATATGTTTTTAAAGTGCTAGTATAACTAGATAATATATAATGTACAGTATAAAGAGGGATATTGTGCTTTTGAAAATATATATATATACTTTCTACTTTCATTTACCTACTAGTAGATCTAAAATTACACATTGAAGTTTAACATGTAATAGATATTGGCCAACTAATACTGAAATTTTATTTACAGAAAGTTTCTATTAAAAGTAACTATAATCACCCAAATTGAAATTAAATTTTAATTTGCCAACTGTAATTTGGGTTGAGAGATCTTCTGTTAGTGGCTAATGTTAGGAAATGACCTTAAAATAAGAAAATATAATGATCTATATTCATCATTAGCCTTATACAGATTAATGATAGTGGTCTCTTAGAAAGCATAGAACATCTGTATGAAAACACATTAGCATGCTTTGGAAAAAACTCAGCTTTTAATTTTTTTCCATTAGAATACTGCAAAATCCATATATCTTTTTAAAGAAGTTTACATACTCAGTCTTTCCATTGAAGAGAAGATTGAATGGGTCCTATTGTTCTTAGAGTGCATCATTATTTTCCTTTTACTTTTGATGGTAAGAAGTCATACTTGAGAAATACATGAAACAAGGTTTCCATTATCAGCCAATTAACTATACTGTGGTTAGTTCTTTCAGAAATTGTAAATACCTTCTAAATAATAGAATAAGCTGTTCTCAGAGATAAAAATACTGTATCTTTTATGTTCTGATTACAATGCTTTATTATTTTAAAAACTTAGAAGTGGCAGATGAAAATATTTATTGGTGCTGATAGATGCATAGTAAATTTAATGTGAGAAATATATTTATAGGGCTTAATGAACCACAAAATTAGTATGTTCAGGCAGTAGGTTGGGTTTTGTGCAAGCTTAACATATTGACCAAATTTGGCCTGGTGACAGAACTGTTATAAAAAAGTTAATACATAGATAATGTAGATAGATAGCAGTTGAATGCCTTATGCTTATACATTCCTTTTAAATGAGGACCTTGAGAAAACAGCAAAGCCAAGTGCAGACCCCCTAAAGAGATGAATGAGCATATTTATACTTCATATAGTAGCAGTATCTGGGAGGTCCTCAGTTGCCAACCTTTGCCTCAATAAGGAGGAAAGGAGTGGTTCTTTTTCCACTCTGAGGGTTTTTGTTTTTCTTAGATTTACCACTTCGCAGGCATATTCGCTTCCCTCTTTCTCTTTACCCTACCCTGCCCTGATCCCTTGTACCTGATTCCTTTAAGTTACTGGAATACAAACTAATATACTCAGCGAGGCCTATATTAATTTTGTTTGAATGGCAGAAATGCTACATATCAATATATTTATATAAGAATCTATATTAGAGTAAACTACATATACATATGATGTAACTTTCAGTATTGCCGAGCTTGCCAACCTAACTGGGTTTTGTGACTCTTAGAGGAGGAGAGCAGCCGGCAGTGTTCTAGGGCACGCATGAGCTCTAGTGTTCTCTCTGCGCCCTCTTTTGGCTAATTGATGTAATTATATTGGCTCTAGAGATTTGCCCCACAAGTAAATAGTATAGACAAATTCTGAACATTATCAGAGCTACAAACTTAGGGAGGGGAGTGTATGTACAAAAATTTAAGATTTTATGAAAAGGACTGTATTCCTGTTGATGGTGTCAATATGTAATTGATACAAATATGATGACTATTGCTTCATTTATGTATATTCTTACTATATTTTTTACTATCAATTGCAAATTTATTTCAAATCAGGATAAGCAAATGTAAACCAGTTCATAAATTTTATTTTAAACCTTATTTTGTCAAATTAGGTTCTAGAACTTAGAATTAGAAAGCCATTACTTTGAGTATACCAATTTATTACAAAACAAGTTTAATGTAGTTAAAATGGCAAGCAAGTATCTCATGTGTTTTAATGAAGATCTAAAAACATACATTTAGTTATTTTATCTCAGTTATGATTTCTTTTTTACTGATTCTGTTGCATTAAAAGAGTAAGAGATTAATAATTCTTTCTATGCTTTTTTTATTGTTTTAAATTTTTCTATTCAGTTATAGCTGTAGCTTTAGTAGTCAGTTTACTATGTACTGTGGATAACCCTGAAAATAACTAAAGATGTTGAAAATAAGGAAATATTTATGAGCAGTGATATTACTGATATAATCTATAGGTTGGATGAAATATTTATAAGCAAAATTTCATTTTAAACAAAATGTATGCTCAGCAAAGTAATGAATTGGGTTTCTGGAAATGAAAGATTTTTACCTAGATGTTGTAAGTTACACCTCTTGAACAGTTATATTTTTGTAGTTCTTTTGTGTAAACAAAAATGTTTATAGGTTTAAGATTGTAGGCAAAAATGGACTGAGTTCAGAATGCCACAAACAGTAGGCATTTAATTAAAGAGCTTTTGATACTTTGTAACCAAGATTTAGAGTTTAAAAGTATTAAGTTAACTGATATCCCATTATAAGAAAATAGTATTTTGCTTAAGAGTTGTATTAAAATATTTGTGGTTAGCATAAGAGAGAGGTATATTTAACTTTTTAGTTAGCACCTTAGTGTATTTTAATAGAAGAAAATATAATTTACTTTTAATAGTAATAGAGAAGTAGAGAACATGAACATATGTAAAGTTCAGTGTTACAATTGAAACTTCTCAGAGTGAACATCAGTGAATTGTTGCTAATTGCTTAAGGTATTTTTCTCTAAGGATTTTGGCTAATTTTAACTATTCCTCATCAGGCTTTTTCAAGCTACTTCCATACAAGTAATTAGTTGAAGGTATGTTTCATCCAAAGTGGTATATTAATTCTGAATGCTAATCGTGAAGACTTAGGGCAATACTTCCAACCACGAATTGTGAAGTAATTAGATTATGGCCACACAGTTTTCTGTGTGTTAGATCACAGGGCAGTTCAAGTGTTCTCACGTGTTGTAATAAAATCACAATAGGTCCAGCCCTCATTTGCAATGGTGTTAATAGTAAAAAAGCTGCTGCTAGTCTCGCCATGGACTTTTCTCTAGTCTCTAACCACTTCCCTTGTGCTTTGTGTATAACTAGATTACCTAGCTCAAGTTTACTAAAATATTGCTGCTTCACTGAATAAGGTTTTGACATGACCTCTACTAAACATAGACATATGTAGAATTTATTTGGTAAAGTTTACACTCACAAACATTAAATAATTTACTAATAGATTAGAGTATTTGACTTTTAATTTCCGTCTACTATTAATGCTTTCAAAAATGTAAGTTTTGGCAAATGTAGTTAGTAAGTCATGTACATTTAGTGTGTTCTACTTGCTAGTGTTATTAACCGTATAATTAAATAAGTATATTATTTAATGTCCACATTTGTTACCTTCTATTCTAAAAATCATCCTCTGAGTTTATCTGTAAGTCACAAATGTTATTGGCTCTCAATTTAGCCATTCTCAATAGAATTTTATATTCTACAGTAGGTGAGAAAATAATAGAACCAACTTGCTTACGGTATTTTAAACCAATGTTGTTATTCTGTGTACCAATCAATACTTAGCATTTCTGTTGCCTCTGGGTTGATAATGGTTTAACTTCAGGAAAATAATTATTTTTCTCTGAAGTCCCTTTTTAGTAATTTTTAACAACAAAATTTACTACACTTTTGTCTGTTCTTCAGATGTTTTAATACTTCCTGCTGTTGCTAATCTGAGACAGAAATAACAATGGAATTTAATTCTTAAGTCATTGGTATTGCTGTTGTTTTCCAGTATCATTACATTTTTTACTGTTACTTTTTCTTTTTCTCCTTGCCCACCATAGAGGACAGTACAAAAGAGTGGTGAGTAGCCAAAACTGGATGAAGTAGGGGAACTTCCTAAGATGGAGAGGAAGGTAGGCAGCACAGAGAGAGGCAACAGCAGCATGGTTGGCTGGGTACAGTTTCTGTGACATCAGAAAATCCCCCTGCTCTAGTCATTTTAGCCTTATCTATTGTTGATACCACTTTACTGCAAGAGTTGTTAATGCATGTAAGCATTTAGTTTGAGTTATTTTACCTAAGGAATTTATGTTGCTGCTTCTCTTCAGTTGGTCTGATGACTTTAAGAAAGTATTTTAATTTTAAATACCATAATTGTGTAGTGTATGCTCACATGAAGTGTTAAGAATAATGTGAAAGGTATAGCTATTAAATGCTGACAAATGAATAGGGTGCCCAGAGTTTGACAAAATATCACCTGATGCACACTGGGTCCCAGAAAAAACTGGGACCTTTTCTACAAGTCACCTATTGCAAAAAAAGGATATTAAATATTACAGGAAATTTTGTCACCAGAAGAAAACTCAATAATTTCTGTTTATAAAGGTTGCTTTCACTTTAAAATTTGGGCTATTTTGGAGATCTCCATTTCTGCTGGTATTGTGAATCCCTGTAAATGTAATGTAGTGCTTACCACAGTTGTTCAACACTCTGGCCTTTTTGGTATATTGGTAGCTTTATATATAAACAAAGATGTGGACAAAGCAGCAACAACAGAAGGTGTACTTTTTGTTTTTGTGGCTTTGCTTGACTGTTAGACTAAGTACAGGGTTTAATTGCTTAGGCTGTTAACTAAAAGGAAAGGTTGTCTGATATTGCAAGCTCTGTGCTCTTGTCAGTGTGCATTGGGTGATATTTTAACCTACTGGTGCCTGAAGTTAGTGATTTACAACCTCAACAACTAAAACATCCTGGTGCTACTCACTTGAGCATTGAGTGACATTTTTAATTCCTGTACCAAAGAGTTCATTTTCTTTTTGGTTGAGAGAGTTTTTACTCACATCCTTGTGTTTATAAAGTAGAATTTAGTATTATTAAAAGCAATTTTGATGAACAGATACTACTTTTTTGCACACTGCTGCCTCAGTTTAATTGGTTTTAAATGCCTCTTTGGACACTTTTTTTTGAGTCAGGCAGACTAGTACAATTTTTCATCTTGTATTTTAATATAAATTGACTACTTTAAAAGGTAGTTTTAATAGGTTGAAGTTACAGAAGATAACTGAAGTACTTTGCACAATATCTTTTTGTTTTTTTTCTGCAGGAATAAATGGGAAATAATAACTCTACTTTTACTGCTATAAATTAACTATATAGCTTATTGGGCCCTTTTAATGAATGCTGTAACAAAATGCTAACATGAAAAGTTAAGGGCTCATTCTGATTACAAATGAAAAATTGTACATCTGTGTGTATGTGTGTATAATCCTTACTGGCATTAAAGAATATTTTCATTTGCCTATTTTACAAGTAAAGATAAAATTAAAGAACACTTTTAAAAAAATGTATGTATACATAAGTACTTTCCCAGGAGGAAATGCAAATGTACCTTGATTTAAGCAGAACTGCTAATAGAAAATTGAATTTTACAAAAAAAAAAAAGTCTGGATGTTGTTACTTTACATAAAAAGTCAGAGTTAGGTTATTTTAAAAACTAATTCTGCTTAGTAATTCATTTTACAAGTACTGGGAGAAAATACCCTTTAGAAGTACTTGTAATTGTCCAAATGTAATATTGCTATGCGTACTATTCTGGTTCCCTATTTTTTCCCACAGACTTTCAAAACACTCATTTACTGTCCTTGAAACTGTGACTGATATGGTTAAAAATTCTGGCAGGAAGGTAATAGTGTATATGTACTGGAAAAGTAGACAATCACATTTGAGAATGTTTAGATTCACTCAACTGAAACCAATCTCTCCTTGAATGTAGATACAATATATGGTTTTGCAGTGAATTCTGAATGGAAAAAAAGAAGTCTGAATACATGAAATGTAATGTAGAATCATTTGAATGATTTATAGAAATATGGATGGATGTTCACATCATAAGAGGTTTGACAACAAAATGGGAAGAAGCAACATTATGTCTCTCTCTGTCAACAATATATTTCCTAGATTTGTTGCCACAATAAGGGTTGTTTGACTTGTTTATGTATTATTTAAATTACTGTGCTGAATGCAGTTATTTGTTCAAGTTACTAGGTAGTAGAGAATTTATCACTGTCTGCTGTCCTCCAGAGACGGTATTAAAAAGAAGTTGTTCTTTTAGCATGGGTAGAATGAAGCAACTAAATGATGCAATAGGAAGAATTTTCGTCACTCAGACAAGGGAGTTGCAAGTTGCAAGTCTGACACTGTGGAAACAGGATAGGCTGTTGGGAGCTCTGAGCAGAAATGATCATGCCTGTATGAGCTCAGTATCCTTCGAATTAGTCTTAAAAAAAATCTGACTGGCAAGTTTAATGAATAGGTAAAGTTGTGTCTTTACCTCAAATTGTGTCTAATGTTATATCCTTAACGTAAAAGACTTTTCATATTGGTATATTCCCAAGGCCAGATGAAGATACTGATTTTGTCAGGTGTTTTTTTCATTCAGTGCATATGCTTCAATCTGAGTGCTGTTTTGCTGTATTGTCTATTTTACCTTGTGTGTTCCCTTGAGAGCAACTAAAGAAAATCTTTTCTAACATTTCTAGTGCTAATGGTAGTAAGGAAAATAGTAGTGGACAGATATGGGACTAGATTGAGAAGAGGGAGGAAAATGATGGGTGGGAACCGTGTATCTGAGATACACATGTTTAAATGAAAAGTCTACACTGGTTCTTGAAAAACAAATCATGTATCTACCTTAAGAACAATGTTGTGTGTGTGTTTTTAAATTTATTTTAGCGATTTAGTTTTATTCGTGTAATATGTTTTTTTGGAGATTGTTTTTAATTTAAATTGTGTAATTTTTACTTCTCGAAATGTATTCTGTACTGTATTTTTAGAAATCTTATTTTTAAATAAATATTTTTTAAAAATATAGGACTGTTTTTCTCCCCAACCTCTTAATTTATTAAAATCAACTGAAATTCTAGATTTTCAACATTACCAGTTTGATAGGCCACTTTTTTTCAGTTTTATACAATTTGGATGATTATTCATAACTTGTAGTCTTTGGATATGGCTCTATCATAATCTCAAAATTCATTATGTATCCAAGAACTAGATATTCATATGAGGGTTGAAATTGACAAACACTATATTCCTAGTTAGGCACATTTGTCTTAGAGATGGCCCAGCTGGCTGGATTCCGTCACCCAAATTTATTTAGCATTTATTTTGCCAGACACTATTTTATGTAAATATTTTTTCTTTGAGGAGTAACTTACATAAAATGCAGAGATCTAAGTGTATATCTAAGCATTTTTTTAGATCTAGGGATATTGAATTACTTAAAGCTTTTGCTCTAATGGAATTATATTCTAGTTTTTGGAAAGCTTTTAATTAATAAACTTACTAAGTCTCAACTAACTGCTTTACTGGAACATGCAAGAAGTCACAAAGGAAAAGTGTATATTATATTCATGAGTACAGACTGGTAAAAATAGCATCTGAAAAGACAAATCAGTATGTCTTAGAACAGTGGAAGTGCAGAAGCTGCCCTGAGATTGAAAGATAGGAGCTTAACTTTTTTTGAAAATTCTTTCTTAAACTTTTGTTATCAGAAAAGTAATGTTGATGAATATTTTGAATTAACAATTAATTAAATGTCTTGGTAGAGTTCAGATAAAACAATAAACCTTGCTGCAGTAGTAAATCTAAAAATTGTTGGCATTTTAACAAACTTTAAAGGATTATAAAATGTTAATCTTGTTTCTTTTTCAATTTCTTTTGCTCTTTTTGCATTTACAATAATTATGCTTTCTTAGTGCTGGTAAGTTACAGTGATTCTCAATCCTTTTGGTCTTAAGACTCCTTTACACTCATAAAAATTATTGCAGACCCCCAGGAGTTTTTGCTTATGTATACTATATTTGTCAATATTGACTGTACTAGAAATTAAAACAGGAGTATTTTAAATGCTTATTTGTTAATTCGTTTAAGCATAACAATAAGAGAGCCATTGCACGTTAACAAAAATAATGTATTTTTATTTAAAGACCCATGATTTTTTCTTCAAAGCTCTAATATCTGCCTTCATAAAAGGTAGTTGGATTCTCATACTGCTTCTGCAATCAATCCATTGTATTGTTATTTTGGTTGAAGTATCGAGAGAAATCTAGTTGCATGCAAATAATGTACTTGGAAAAAGGACTATTTTAATAGTCTTTTCAAGTGACTGTATATATTCTTTGATACTATGCAAAAATTCAAAAAGTGATGGTTTCTTAGAGTATAGTTGCAATGTGGAACCAGAAATAAAACCAAGCAACTTTCCTTGTTCTGTTACATTAAAATCCATTGATTTCTTTTTCTATTTTGGAATAATTTGATGAAAAAGTGATATTCTTTTTCATACCTGATATTGTGACATCATCCATTGGTCATTTGGAAGATCTTCCAAATATTGACACATTTCATTCTATAAGTTAAATTTTAAAAATGAATGTGGCCATTGATCTTGCTGGAAAAGGAAGTACTGGAAAACTGTTAAGTTCAGAGTGACACACTACATTTTTCAAAATACTGATTTTCACTTGAAAACTTGCATGTTATCCTTGGTAACCATATACTGTCTGTTGTTTTCCTTGAAGTGACAGGGTCACTTCACTCATTTTTTGCCACATGGCCACATCTGAAAAACCATAGTTTGTCAGTTTTTCTTTCAAGTAAAAAGTGGTGTTCCATTAAAAACATGGCTAGTTCAGCTTGTAACTCCAATCATCGCACCAGTGCTTTTCCTCAAGTAAAAACTACTGTGGGATGCAGGTAAAATGCTTCATGTGTACTTCCTGTGTTGTCAAGCAGAATATTAAAAATATACTTGAAGATCAAGATTTAATAAATCATTTTTACTGATCTATCAAGGGCATTTTACTGATTCATTTTCTTTTTTAAGCTAACACTTGTTTGAATCTACTTAATTTGGCTCTGTTTAGGAGGAAAAGCAAAAAAGAATGGGAGAAACTAGGGCAGAACATTATGCATTTACTCTGTATTTGGTAAGTAAAAAGGAAAATTAGCTGCTTAAAAAAGAGTATTTGTATTTGTATATGCCTGCTTTTGAAGCACTTAAAATATAGTTATCTATATGACATCTAGTTAGCTTTGTTTAAAGAGACAAAAACTAAAAATACACGATGGTATTATAATACTGTAAAATCATTTGAGAAGTTGCCAGATACTATAGATGAACAGACACATACAAATGCTGCTCTAGGCTGACCAATTAACTGTATGCGCAGCAATTATATTAGCGTGCAGGGCAATTGGAGGGAAAATTGGACCCTGTGGACATCCAGCTGAGCAAACAGGACTGAAGAAGGATAGCGGATGTGTGTTTGAAAAAAAGAAAATACATCTAAGCTTCCTTAAAAAAATACTTGTATCAGTCACAGCACATTTTTTATATGTCCTCTGGTTGCCTAGAACTTTTCAAATTAGCCTTCTTCTCCAAACAAAAAAAAGTGCCTCTGCTTAAAGATCAAACACCCAAATAGCAATGAGTTTTACATGTAAAAAGCCAAAATAATTTAGGAAATAGAGAACTTGGAATATACAAATCCAGACATTCGGATGCTACTGTATATATGCGCTTATGTGTGTTGTTAGTACTAGTTTAGCTGTGGTATGGGCTGGATTATATTTATCCTTTTTGATACTGAAATTTACTATTTTTATAACTGGAACTGTTCCCTAGCTGTAACTTGTGGTATTTCTTGGCAAAAACTGAGTGACTGAGGATCTAATATGATGATGAGGTTTTATGGTTGCACATTGAAACTTTGGATGAGTAATCCTTGATGAATAAATCATGGCCATCAAGTTAATGAAATTTGCTCTTTAAATGGTATATACTCTGTAACTGTTGGTCAAATATCCTCATTCCATTGAAGGTTCATATTTTAATGGTAACTAGAAGTAACTGTTATCAAAGTTTTTTTGGGTGGTCTGCACTTGTTACAACTTGATGTCTGATTTAAAGAGTTATTTAGTGTTTGATAAGCATTTCACATATTCTTAACATGGAAAAGTAATATGCAAAATACCAATCCATTCAAAGTGCTCTGATTTTTGCCATTAATTTTCCATGTACTTTTTTTATTTTTTAAAAGTAATTTCAATAATTTGGGTGATCACTGTGGTAGGTAAACTGTAAAAGGGTCCCAGTGATCCTCTACCTCCCAGGTATTCAAAGCCTTGTAGAATCTCCTTTTCACTCACGGGAGGTAAACACTATTCTGGATTTGGAATGTATCATCCCATACATGTTTTTAGACTTCTATGTGTATAAATAAGAAAAATATTTTATTGTTTGATTAATTTTTAAAACTTACATAAACCTCTGTCAGTATTCCCTATCTTTTGTCTCCACATTTTTGTTTTCCCATAGTACTTACCACCATCTAGAACAAAGTGGAAAAAATCCCCACTCCCATTGTCCTCCCCAGAGGTAGCCACAGGTATTCATCATTCCTCTTCCCTTTTTTTACATATCATGTATATCTCTCACATACATGGTTGTTTAATTCTCAAGGGAGAACCTACTAACTTTTCTGTGATTTTTATTTTTAATTAATAATACATTTTTGTGATAGCCATATCAAGATACAGTAGTCTACCCCATTCTTTTTAATGTTTCTGTAGATATCATATCAATACCCTGTAATTTATTTAACTGTGCCTCTAAAATGACCATCAGAGGTTTCTTTCTTTCTTTCTTTTTTTTTTTTGCTCTAGTGACAATACTACAGTAAACACTCTTTTGCAAAAATCTTTGTGCCCATTTACTAGTATTCTTTTTAGATGAATTCCTAGAAGTGAAATTGGTAAGTCAAAAGAGAGGCATATTTTTAATTTTGATAGAAATACCAAATTGTCTTCTGAAATTGTTTAACTTAACACAGTCTGACTTGATATTATTAATCTTTAAAATTTGTGTCAATGTAATAAAGGTGAGTATTTGTTCTTTTTTCCCCCCAAATTTCTTGTTTATGTCATTTGACTGGTCTGTTTACTTCTCCTTGTTGAATATTAGTAACTGTATTTTCAGGATATAATTTTTAAAAATTTATTCAATACATTTCTTGTTTTTCTTTATGGTGATTGTTCCTGTAACTATTGCTGTGTAACAAATAATCCCAAATTTAGTGACATGAAACAACCAACCATTTATTTTATGGTATGAGACTGTGGGTTAGGAATTCAGTAAGAGCACAGCAGTTTTTCTCTGTTGCATGGTGCCTCAGGCCTCAAGAAGAAAGACATGAAGACTTTCAAGGAGGCTATTACTGGAGACTACTATCAGCTAAAGCTTCATTTACTTAAACATCTGATGGTTGGTGCTTGCTGTCATCAAGAACACCTGCGTGGGCCTTTCCATAAGTCTGTTGGAAAGGCCCACAAATTCCTCACAGCATGGTGACTGGATTCCAGAAGAGAGTGGCCCAAGAGAACCAGACAGAAGCTATTCTTACCTTTTGTGACCTAGCTAGAAGTCACAAACCTGCCTAGATTCAATGAAAGAGAATGCAGATTCACTTCTTAGGAAGAGTCTCAAGTCACGTTTCACAAGAAAAGCATGTTGGATAGGAGATACTATTGAGGATTGAGGGCGTCTATGAAAAGGAATGTGTCACAATCATTGTTTAATGGAAGCAATATCTTGAAATTTAATCGTTTTCAATAAGACCTGATTTTTTCTTGTTTAAAAAGGACTTTCCTAAATGAAGACTATGTATTTTCATTTGTTTTTCAAAAAAACCTTGTAGTTTTGCTCTCCTGTATTGTGCTGTTGAATTCATTTGGAATTTTTTTTTAAAACTCTAAATTTAATTTTTGTAAATTTCAATGTTTGTATATTTCTGTAAGCTTTTATTTTTGTAATAATGTAGAGTGGGAGACTAACATTAAAGTTTTTTAGGTGTACAAAATATCACCAACATAATTTTTTGCTTAGTTCATTTTTTCATCCTTGATTTTGTAGTATCACATGTTCTTGAAGGTGTATAGCATGCATTTGATTCTTCTAATTGTTAAAAATTTCAGAAATGTTAACCTATGTTTTTCTAACTGTAACTTTCATTAAAGAAATGGCATTTTCTAATAACCCCACCCATTTGAACTAAGAAGTGTTTTATATTTTTATTCCCCACTCCTACTTATTTTTATGAATATAATTTAGATTTTTAGTCAGATTATTATTATATATTGCATATCTTCCAATTTAAAAGTTTTATTGAGATATAGTTGACATACAACAAAATTACCCATTTTAAGGTATATTTCAATTAGTTCTTACATATATTCCCATGTAACTACCAACATAATTAAGATAGAGAATTTTCAGTCACTTCGAAAAGTTCCCTGGGGCAGCCCACTCCCAGCTCCAGAAAACACTGATTTACTTTCTCTCACTATAAATTAGATTTGCCTTTTATAGAAGTTCACATGAATGGAATTATATAGTATGTCCTCTTTTTTTTGACAGGCTTCTGCTCAGAATAATGTTTTTGAGATTCATTCATGTTGTGAGTATCAGTTTGTTTCTTTTTGTTGCTTAGTGTTATTCTGTACGAATAATCTTTAATTTCTTATCTATTCCACTTCACCCCCCCCAAGACAGTTATGAAGGATTGACATTACTCTTTAAATATTTTATTGCCTTCACCAGTGAAGCTAACTGTACCTGGATTTTTCTTTGCTGGAAGATTTTTAATTACTCACTAAATTTGGTAGCTTGTTATATAGGTCTATTCAAGTTTTCTATTTCATCATGTCTGTTTTGGGAATTTGTGTTTTTCTAGGAATTTATCTGTTTGGTCCAAGTTGTCTGATTCGTTGTCACAAAATTATTCATAGTATTCCCTAAAAGCCTTTTAGTTTCTGTAGTACCGGTGTTCCTTCTTTCATTCCTGATTTTGGGAACCTGTCTTCCTTTTTTAATTTTGTTAATCTATTTAAAGATTTGTCAATTTTGTGTCTTTAAAAGATGTACTTTTGTGTTCACTGATTTTCCCTATTTTTATTTTCTATTTCATATACTATAACTTATTTTCACTCTCTGTCTTTTGCTTGCTTTTAGTTTGCTCTTCTTTTTCTAGTTTCTTAAGGTGAAAGCCTAAATTATTGATTTGAAATCTTTACTCTCTTGTAATGTAGATTTACAAAGCTATAAATTGCCTGCCCTCTTAGTATAGGCCTTCATTTAATTATGTTGTGTTTTTTAAAATTGAAGGTTTTGTGGCAACTCTGCATCAAGCAAGTCTTTTGGTGCCATTTTTCCAACATCACTTGCTTGCTTCATGTCTCTGTGTCACATTTTGGTTATTCTTGAAATATTTCAAACTTTTTCATTGTTTTTATATTTGTTATGGTGATCTGTGACTAGTCATTACAATTTGCTGAAAGCACAGATGATGGTCAGCATTTTTTAGCAATAGAGTATTTTTTAATTCAGGTATATACATAATGTTTTTAGACATAATGCTACTACATACTTAATATACTACAGCATATGTAAACATAACATTTATATACACTGGGAAACCAGAAAGGTAGTTTAACTCACTTTATCATGCTTTGTTGTGACATGTGCTCTGTTGTTGTGGATATCACTGAGGTGTGCCTGTGCTGCTTTAGCTGTTTCCCATGATTTTGATATGTCACGTTTTTGTTTTCATCCAATTCAAAATATTTTAATATCCTTTGTTTATTTTTTGGTACTGTATTATTTAGAAGTGTGTCGTGTAATTTGAAATAATTTAGAAATTTCCCAAATTCACTTCCACTGTTGATTTTTAATTTAATTCCATTGTTCCAAGTGTGTTTGAAAAGATCATGTATTCTTCTGGTTTGTGGTACAGTGTTCTATAAATGTCAATTGTGGCAAGTTCGTTGATATGCTTTGTCAAGTCTTCTATATCCTTAGTGGTTTTCATGTAGTTCTATCAGTTATTGAGATTAGGATACTAAAATCTCCAAGTATTATGTTTGAATTATATATTTCTTCTTTCCGTTTTTGTTTCATATATTTTAGGGCTCTGTTATTAATGAGTATAGATTTATAATTCCTGTATCTTCCTGATTGGATACCATATTACCATACCTTTGGTTTATAACATATATATGTGCAAAATCTATGTTATGTATATACACATATATTGACAAAAAACACAAAGGAAGAGAGGAAATTGACCAATATTGGAACGTTTATGTATTTTACTGGAATTCAGTTAGTGTTAATCCACTGTACATTGTGGTGAGCTGGAATGGACAGTCTAACTGCTGGAGTAACCACGAAGAAAATAACCCAGTAAAATAGAGTTTAAAACCATAATAATTAAAATAGTACACTAAATATACATACTTAAGACAAAAGAAGGCAGTAGGGGAGGAACAGGAAAGAAAAGATATATGATATAGAGAACAAATAGTGAAATGGTCACATGTAAATCCTATCATATCAATAATTAATGTAAATAGAATAAAAACTCTAATCAAAAGTCCCAGATGGTCAGACTGGATAACTAAAGCAAGATCCAACTAACTATACATTGTCTACAAGAAACAAAAGACATAGGGAGATTGAAAATAAAAAGATTGCAAAAGGTGGACCATGCAAACAGTAATCCATAATTATATAAAAGCTCTATACCGAGAAATATTACTAGAGACAGAGGGATATTTTATAAGAGTTGTTCTGAAGGGTAGTGATTTGGTAATACCAGTAATTTTTACTATTTCATGAAGGGTTTTTTTGAGTGAGTCTGACTTTTTTCTCCTGGAGATTTGATGCGAATAAACAATACTGTGATTGCTAGTACAGTTTGATCTGTCTTTATTGTGCTAAGGGGCTGTACATAGATCATGGTTTTAGAACCATTTACACTTAATGTAATTATTATTGTGTTTGTTTTTGCATCTGTCATCTTGCTGTTTGTTTACTATTTGTCCAGGTCTTTGTTCTGTTTTCCTACCTTTTGGGATTAATTTAGTATTCCCTTAATACTCCATTTTATCCCCATTATTAACTGTACCTCTTTTATTTTTTGATGTTTTCTCTCAGAATTACAATATGCCTTTTTAATTTACTAGTCTATATTCAAATATTATTATTCCACTTCATGTATAATGTAAAAAAATCATACATTTTCCTTCTATTTCTTCTTTTCTTTAGGATATTGTCATATATTTTACTGCTACAAGTGTTGTAAACCTCACAATACATTGTTACTACTTTTCTTTTGCCAGTCAACTATATTCTAAAGAAATTTAAAAGTAGGAAAAAAAATTTTTTTTTTTTTTGAGAGGGCATCTCTCATATTTATTGATCAAATGGTTGTTAACAACAATAAAATTCTGTATAAGGGACTCAATGCTCAATACACAATCATTAATCCACCCCCAGCCTAATTCTCATCAGTCTCCAATCTTCTGAAGCATAACGAACAAGTTCTTACATGGTGAACAAATTCTTACATAGT